TGTTTCAGTGTAAATGCTCTGGGACAGGCCAGAATGAGATAAAATTGTCATTTTGTTCTGCAAAGGCAAATATTTCCCTGGAACTGCTTATGTAGGTAATTGGATACTTTCTTCTTTATTTGAAGAATAAATATCTGAATAAATATCTATATCTGAAGAACCACAAACTAAAATGGGACATGGCTGGCACACAGCTGTTACAAGTTTCCTACATGTCCAGAGAAGAGCATAGTGGTGACTTCATTTTCCCTGTTTTGCACTGAAAAGAAGAGGTAAAAGGCAAAGATGGGTTGTACAACACAAAAGGTTAGTGTCAGATTAAGGGCAGTAGGAGACTTTAAGGCTCAGGATGCCTTGACTGCTTTAGGACATTCTCAGACAAGGGGTAAAGGGCTAAATGCATGTTAAACCACCCCTCTTTTGACCTTCTGGTGACTGAACAATGTAGCAGGAACAATCCAGCTAACAGAATATTGATCTCTGGCTCTTCTGTGACTAGAACAAATGTGCTTGTTTCCCTGAGGATTAGCAGGCTGTGAGGGGAGGAGGGACGTGCTGTACCTGGAGGTTCAGCTCCCACTGAGCCCTGGCTGTGTGTCCAGGGAGCCAGCAGGGCTCAGGGGGACACAGCAGCAGCTAAAGAACCACTCAGCCCTGCCTGTCAGAGCCCTCGTGGCTGCCATTATCACCAGGGACCTCACTGCCCTTTCCTTCCTGCACATTAATCACATGCAATCCAATTCTCCAGAGCTCTGAATGTTCCAAAGGCACAGATGCATTTTGATCTGGGATTCTGATCTTTAGTCCATTTACCTCAAATGGAAATCACGCCTAAAAAGAGCAAATTTCCAGATTCTACTCTGTGATTAGCCACAGGAAACTCAGTCAAATTACCTTGGATAAATGGACAGTGCTACATGAAATTAATAACTCTCAGCAGCCAGCAGAGAAATGTGAAAAGGATATTAACAACTGGAATTGCTTGAGTATAGCAAAATGAAAGCTTTTAATAATAGACAAAATACATAACAACCCAGGGACTAGAGGCTCCTGTTTTCATTTGGTCCCAGACACAAAGGTGTATTTTCTTTTATGTTCAAAGGGGTGTACAGAGCAAGACAACAATGGCTGGATGCTTCTATTCACTCTTGATTTGGGGCTGATTATTACAGTCTGCTTAGCAGCTGAGTGGGATGCTGACTGCCCTCAAGTCCTATTGCAAGTGAGGATTTTGGAGCAGGGATCTCATTACTTCTGAGATATCTATGACCTCATCTGCCCACTGAAAAGGCTAAATGCCTTTTTTGTAGCAGATGAGTCTCCCTGCTATTACTGTTGCATCCATTTCAAAGTCGGTTTTTCAGCTTTGCAAGTGTGCTGACACAGAAATACAGGTTGTTAATGCTGTGGGCAAACACAGACTCCTACTTGAAGATAAAAATATGACAGGAATAGCTCTAGTGGGTTTGCCCACTCAGTTCCTCCTTTCTAATGTGCCATTGCACCCACCTGAATAATTGTTTGGCCTTTAGTCTCTTTGCTGTGGTGGCTGCACAGCTGATGTGTCGAGCAGGTGGCTGCTTTGAGAAAAAAAAATCCTTTAGAGGGAGTTTGATTATTTGGTATGTTGCCATAGATCCCTAGATCCATGGCTAAAAGGGAATTATTAGGGCACCCCAGTTTGTCTTCCTTGGCTCATTGATAACTTTGCAGGGCAAAGTTGCTCCTTGTGTTTGTATGATGAGGTTGCATAACAGAGCTGGAGGTAAAACACCTCTAGAGATAGAGCATATAGAATATAGAAAGGTTTGCTTCAACTCCCACAGAATGAACTGCAGTCAGAATTTTCTAACTGCTATCTGTGCTAGACATTTTTAATTGAAGCACTGTTCAAGTGGAATCCTTTTCTCAGGCTCATACACAAAGTGCTCAGCAAAGCACAGAACCCTGTACTTTTAAAGAAAGGCTTCAGAAAACAGCTCTGGGGAATGTGTCTGGGCTTGGCTTCCTCATCACTCCTCAGTGAGTGATATCAATTATCCAGCTGCCTGGCTCCAAGGAACAGAGAAACCACAGTGCTCCAAGTCACGCTGTGTTGAGAGTTCAAGAGGTAACATATTTTACAGGACCATACCTGTGAAACATCCCCCACTCAGCCACTGCTCCATTCCCCTCTGTAGCTTCTCTGAACTTATTGATGAATTTGTCCCCTTTTTCAATGGTTTAATTTAAACCTCCACTAACCTCCCAGAAGAGAGAAGTGGTTGTAGTGGACAAAGCCAAACACAACATCCAGAAATGCAGTGTGCATATTGTCACTATCAAAGTAGAGCAGAGCTTGAACCAGCTCTGCAATTTAGGGATCTTCAATACACCTGACAATATTCCACACAGACACTCATGTGCAGTATCCTTGTACCTGCATCCTAGAGCTAACTTTTCCTCCCAACAGAGAAGCTATACAGTTAGTGTGCAGTTTAACTATGAGGCAGGAAATGCCTGCACTTGCTGCTTGCACCCAGCTTGCCATGTCACCCTGTCAAGCCAATTACTTACATTAAAGTTTTGTCTGGCCCTTCTTGACAACACAGCCTCTAACAATGAAAATATGTATGATGATGATCTGGATGCAGGAGGTGGAACTCATTGTTTTCCAAGGCTCCTGCTATTACTATCAGTTTCACATGAAGTAGGGCATTTTCTTTGGGAAAAGCCACACAAAAGTGTCACTTGGTTTCACTAGCAGAATAATGGTTTTTTTTTGCTGTTCCCACTCTAATCCTTTTCTTCATGGTTGAAGAGTTTAGTCCAGTGCTCTGGGAGAGATGCAAACATTGCTAATTGCACTAAGATTAATATTCTAGGAAATTTAAGCAAAGCACTCCACTGGAAAATTCATTGGGCAGCAGAATAATCCCACTGGGCAAGTACCATTGTGTCAAACTGGTTTTAGTCATGGTGAAATGTTTTGCTCTTTATGCCAAAATGCTTGCAGGATCTGGCCTAACTAGACAGCCTGCAGGAACAATGAAGACAAGTCCATGAGTGATACAATTACAAAGGCAACAGAATATCAGAAAATGGTTGGGGACAGTACATTACACTAAGCAACATTTTCACAGATCCTACATGTTTACACACCAGACCTTGTCCTGCTCAATTCTTCATTGGAAACTTCTCTGCAGCTTTCCAACAGCTTCCTTTCTGCTCAGCAAGAATAAGAAGGGATGCAAAAACAAACAAGGTAGATGTTTTTGCAACATTTATGCAGCTCCTCTGCTTTTTGTTGTCCTGTGGCCATGAAGGAATTAATAGCTATTTTAGGAAATGAAAATCATAATTTTTCTATCATCCTTAAGACTTCAGTTATTTTATTGGACAGAATTTGCTTTCTTTCCCTCTGATCTTGCACAACTGGACTTCCTAAACTTTTTCCCAGTATAGGTCTTGTCTGTCCTCAACCATCTTCACAAAATCCTGCCTCCAAACAGGGAAATAACAACACACGCAGAAGCTCATAATTGTTTTTCTCAGCCTCAAAATAACCTAATTTATTTTCTCCCCACTGCTAGCTCTGTTTGCATCTTTCCTAGCTTTAAAGGACAGTTCATAGAGAGGGAAAAAATATACACAGTGACTGCTGAGTGGTTATAAAGACTGATTTGGGGCATGCTGCTTTGATTCAAGTAACTGTCCACCAGCCCTGCAGGAAAATGGGTTTAAAGAGGAAAGTGGGAAATCCAAACTTCTCTATACATTCAGCAGCTCATAGCCCAGCCTCAAGCTCAGTAGCAGGCAAGTGTCAAAAATAGTCTCTGTTCCTGCAGACAAGGCTTTCTGGAATTAGAGTATTAGCTACATGAGACAGAAAACCTAGACAGTACATGCAGACATAGAAGAAGAATTTGTCTGCTGCTCTCAAAGTGCATACATTCTATGAAGTGTTGCTTAATTTTTATGGGGGTGAAGGAACATTTCCAACAGTGGTGATTTTTTTTTCTTCTCTCAAGATTTTACAATTTCTCAAGCAAGGAAAGCTACAGCTTGTCTTGAAAAGACACAGTTCTTGAAAATGAACTGCCCATGGAAAAAATGCAGTAAAAATGTTGCCTCTCAGTGGAACAAATCCAAAGGATAATCAGAGTCATTACCTAAAGCCAGTTATAAAAAACATCTCATCCAAGGCTCTCACCACAACCCAGAGATGTATTAATACTGAGATACAAACACTTGCACATCTGACACTTAATACTTTTCTTGTGTTGTTTCTACCCCAGGACATACATACCCGACTCTTGAATTCACCCCTGCATAAGCACAGAAGTGACCAAGCTTTCTTTCAATTTTATCTTTCTCATAGACATATTCACTATTAATTAGGCTTTAAAAATTTTCCATCATTCTTTCAGTACATCAATAACCTTATGAAAGCACACAGCTGCTGTAAGAAATCTGGATTGCAGTCCAGTGAGATGAGAAGTGTGGTATTAGGCTTTTGTTTCCTGGAAGGAATGCATATACAAACCACTGCAAACCAGTACCTCTAGACAGAAATGGGAACTTGTGCTGCTACTCTGTTGATCATTTTCTCCACTGAAATTCAGAGAGTCTGCAGAGCAGCAGTTCAGCAGGTTCAGCATAAATGTATTGATCACCAGCTCCAGTTACTGAAACTGGGAGGCAGGTAACAGACAGCCTGCATCTGCCTGTCATGGCTGTGAGACTGATGATTTTGGGTACAGCCCAGGAGTCTACAGTCATGCTGAAGACCCACACATGATGAACTTGGATTTCATCACAACCGAGCCAATGCCAACCACTTGGTCCATCAAGGAAATTAAGATGTCCAGAAAACACGACCTGGAACAATTCCATATAATGTTATACCACAGTAAAAAATGCACCAAAAAAAAAAAAAAAAAAAAAAAGCTGACAAACTGCAGAAGAGCTGCTAGAAAAATCTACAGTAAAAAATAAGCACTTTCTATATAAATATCTCTCTATTTACTATACCCAAGTTGATCTCTCTTTTATTACATTTCTATACAAAACTGGTATTGGCTCTGTTCTCAAATAAAGCTCTCACCTCCACACAATTTGCATCCAAACTTTCTGCCATCAAGACTTAAGATGATTAACTTGCCTTTCATTTCCATGACTGTGGCAGCACTTAGTCAACAAAGTCTCTAGTTATATGTATTTATATAGATATACATGTATATATACACACATACATACATACATACACATGACAAATACTGTTGAAGATTTCCTTTCTTCCAGTGTTTGTAGTGACAGTCATCCTAGAAGGTGAAGGCATACACCACTCCCACAACCACAATATTTCCAATTGTTGCTATTATTGCAATCCATAACAATATGGCATCATTTGAAGAACGGGATGTCTCCTCTGGTGGATTCTGCATGGAAGAAGCTGCATGGACGTTGGCTGATGAGTTAAACAGGGAGTACTCTGTACTAAAGTCCTCATTGGGTGAGTCCATAAAGGCTCCTCCCATAACAGGAAGCTGTGAAGAAAAACATGGCAGAATCAGACTGAAAGCTAGTATCTGCTTTTGCATTGTCTCAAAGTCATTATCAAAGACTAACCATTAGCTAACTTTTAAAATTACTGAGATTTCATGGACATGGTGGTAACCTGTCAGGAATATCACAGAATATAATATTTCTCCCATTTCTGTTGGAATCACTATTATTGAAGAAAACTTACACATAATACATGCAATTATACAGAAGAGCTCAAATGCAAGCTTCAAGTCAGCCTAAGTAATCATATGCATTTAGAAGATACCCATGTACACAAAGCACCCACATACCAGAATTTGAGTTGATAGCAACAGGATTGTTTTGTGACTACCAGAAAAGGTATTACGTCACTGCAAGACATTGCACAAGCACAGAGAGGATCTGATGCTGAGAATTTGTGCTCCTCTTATGCATCACTCAGAAGCAAACTCTTGGCTTATGAAGAGATCATGCAAAAAGTTCTTACTGTAAAAAAGCTGGAAAGTACTCAGTGCACTAACTTCACTTGCAAAACACAGCACTGCTGTGTTTTGCAATTCAGGATTTATAAATCAATACAACAGAAAACTTCAAACTGGATTTTGAAAGGCTCCATCACAATGCAGTAAATGGCAGATTTCTAAAACTTTTCCCACACCAGACTCCTCCTACAGGGAAGGACCAAGTTTCTTTGGTGCTCTTAGTGGATTTCTCAGCAGTACCAGAAAATGTTCTGGGTAAGATAACAGTTACTCAATATACTTTACAAAAGATAAAGGAAGAAGAAACTGTATTCTTCAGGGTCCAAGAACTATTTTACATAGTGGTATAAAATGACATCCTTCTGCAAATGAATGGATTCCTCATTCAGGCAAGAGAAGGATACCTACTGCAGTGCAAAGACCATTTACAACTAAAAAAGGTTCCCACAAAAGCTTTTTGCTTCCATCCTTGTCCCTTGTATGTTTAGGAATGCAGAACTGTAAGAATCTCTCCTGACTCACTGAGTGCCGGCTCCAAGTCTCATGTAAGTGTAGGACAATGTTTCAGAAAAAGCTGCAGAACATCTATTTCACATATCTATAAATGCTCAGGAGGACACACATTTCTGAATATCCTGTAAAAAACCACAAGCAGTGGAGGTATGGAAAAGCCCAAGTTTCTGCAGTAGTCTCTAACCAAACTCTGTCAGGACTGTAGCACATAGATAGATCAAACCCATGTATTTATTGGATAAAAAACCCCAGAGTCATATGTCTAAATTTCTCTGCCAAAATTCCATCATGGCATAGATGATTGGTTTGATCTTGAGCAATGAGTAAAACCTAGACATCAGTGCATCCTACCTACATACCCCTGTGAGTCCAGGGCTTCAAGGAAAGCTGAAAACATCTGTGAATATTGTCCTTAGAAACACCCTCACTGCAACACCAGCCAACCTTCCCTCCCTCACAGTGGTTTCCACGCTGCTGCTGCCATCCTCCAATCTTTAGACACAATCTCCTGTTTTACACCCTATTAATAAGTGCCTTTGGGGTTTTGGTATTAATTTTCACCTTTCTCTTCTACTTCAGCACTATTGCTGAAGTCACCACAGCCTATGAATAACAGAGGAACAAGCCTTGCCTTCATTCAGCCATATTACAGAAGGCTGCTATACCTTCAGCCCTAAACTGCCCTGTCAAATACTCACTGGGCTGAAAAATCATCTCTTTTAGCACCCTGTCCTTCCTCTCCTGCATCACATTTTGATTCTCTCAGTAACCTCTCCCTCTTCAATCAAACTACACCCATTCTGGCTGTGTGCAGCTGTGCTATGGAGGCTGCTGAAATGGACAGCATGTGAGGATAAACCATCTCTTCTCTCTATACTGGCTGAAATCTACAGACAGCACTAAAGACTTTGATAGTCAGAGAATGAAGTCATTTTTTTTGCTTGCCATGCGTAACGTTTTAGAGAGACATAAAAGACAGGCTCTTTTTCAAAGCTGACTGCTGAACAAATTTCATCTGTGCTAGAAAATATCATGTCACATTCAAAATTAAACAGAGAATGATGAAAGACCACAGTGGATATGTCATGCTACCTAATCCACATTAAATAAAATTATCTTTGATATCAGATATGATTAGACAAAAGCAGTTTACAAGAAACCAAGCAGGAAATTGCAAAAGTAAAGTCTGATACGTTCGCCCTGCACCAAAGATTTTTGCTGGCAATTTCAACAGAGTGTGGTTTAAAAGAGAGCAAAAGCTTCCATTTCAAAAGCCCAGCTTGATCTCTTGAATCCAATTCCACCGGCCTTTTTATATGTCATGGGATTTGATAAGGAAAGCATTTCTCAGTTTTATCAAAATTTCTTTTTATGTAGAGATTGCCATAAAAGGCAGCTCTGACTTCAAACAGAAGTGTATTTATGCAGTGATGATGCCATGTAACAGCTACAGAGACTCTAATTAAAGATCTCTGCTCCAAATGACAGGAATACATTTACCATACTGGCAGCAAAATGCTCAACCAGAGGTGCTTGCCTCCTTAACAAATAATTTTAAGGCTATCAGCATTTAGGACAGTCAATTCTGCAAAATCTTTCAACTGAATCATTCCAAGTATAGAGGTACACACACAAGTGCAAGTGCCCAATACAGTGGGAGGTCATAAGCACTGTTCTGGTGATTGATACCTGGGTTTTGGGCTGCACATTCTGTGCTCTCAAGGAGTTATATTAAATGACAAGTTTCCACCCTGTTAGTTCCCCTGCTGCTGTCACAAAGGCAGGAGCATCCGTGTAGCAGCGCAGCGACACAGCACGCTGTAAATTCTGTCAAATCTGAATCTCCTTGTACTGTCTAAGGCTCAAACAAGCTGTCTGCACCATCTGAGGGGAGCACATGGGGAAACAGCTCATCTGAATCTCTGAAAAGCTTGAGGTGACCTGGTGTAAAGCACTGACATTCAGCACCTGGTACAGGCTCTTTCTGTAAGACTGAATTCCAGTTTTTCTGTTTGTAGGTCAGTAGCACTTCACAATAGATCTGGAAATAAACCTTCCTGCTAATTTCCCATTTGCAAAAATCATCTCTTGCTAAATGTGCATTCCCCCTTCTCACTGCTCCAGCAGCCTCATATAAGAGCAGGAGGAACTGCCATATGGTGTCCAAGAGAAAGTCCATCTCCCTTGGGTGAGAGTGGCTCCAACAGTGGCCATAAATAGATGCTTAGGAGAGTAAGAGCACAACAGGAGAAACAGGTCTGATACTACCCCTTAATAACTCACAGCCTCTGTTTTCAGCTTAGGAAGTTCATAGACCAGACACCATTGCTATGGATTTAATAACTTGCAAAGAATTTTGCTACCATGAACTTGTCCAGAGTATATCTGATCTCATCTGAAGCTGAGCATCCTTCTCAATCTGGGCTCTTGGTGCCACTTAACAGTCAGGGTTGCTCAGTGATTAGAATGATGTAAATCATCCTTGGGAGATATGCCATCTCTCCACAGGAGAGAGGGATGATTACTATCAATGGCAATCTATCTTTTTGGTAGATTAAATTCACTGAAATGAATCTCATCCTCAGTCTTTATGTCTTCATTCTCCCATAAGGTACAGTATCTTCCCTCTGCATTCTTATTTGAGATTTTACTTATTTGAGACCTCCAGACCTGACACTAATGGGAGTTGTGAAGTGCTTGTGATTAACAGTAGGCTAAGGACAGAAACCTGCAATGCTCTCTGTGACTGCTCTATTTTTCTGCCTGTGCCTCTGCAAAGCAAATATATGCCAATTTACATCATCCAAAACCTTCCCCCATGTCACAGCCATTACAGTGACCTGCAGTCTGTTTAGCCTCAGAGGGTATTTATAGTTCAGGCAAGGCTGCCACCCTCCCCAAGAGCACAGGATGAGGAGGCCAGGGCAAAGGGTTAACTGAGAAACAGGACAGTGAGGGACAGATGGGGAGGGGTAACGCTGTAGCACACTGTTTGGAAATGAAACTCCTTTCCAAGAGACTGTGTTGACATTGTTAAGTAGCAGTAATAGTACATTGCTTGCTAAATGGCTTCTGGGACTGGCAAAGAAAGAATTGAAATCATTAAATATCAACAGGCAGAAAACCAAACAGCAAAATGTCAAGTGATAATGAGAACACCCACTGCGCCGAATACCTCCCACTGGCATGCTCTGGGGTCACGAGGGGAGCAGCCCTTGAACAGTTCTGTGATGCACTTCTAGTTAGCAGAAAAATCCTATTTTATAACCAAAGTGATCCACAGGAATGAAAAACAGCATGTCAGATACCAGTCATTGATACTGTAAGTATGATAGCATTCTTAAGCAGCAGCATATAAAATCCATCCCTTAGCAATAACATTGCTCCATTTCTTTGAGAATCAGGTGTCTGACATTTTACCATAGCCAGCTAGAGAATTTTGACATTTGGCTGCTGCCATCTTGTTGGGAACCCAGGTTAGGCATAGATATTTGAAAGCACAGCTCAATCTTCCAGTGAGAAACTAAGAAACCTCAGCAGCAGCTGTAACAGCTCTGATGTATCTTTGCCCTGGTCTCCCCAAGCATCGCTCCAGGAATGGGATGCTAACAGGTGAAATGTCACCACAGCTCAGGTGTTGTTTTGTAAAATCCATGTTGCTACTTCAGAATATCTAACTTTCCAGTGTTTCTTTTTTGTAAAATTTTAGATACCATCTTTTTACAAGATGGTATGATTTGAATACATAAAGTGAAATTATTATTTCTTCTGCCCTGGTAGCATATGATTACTGCAGTGCATATTTGTGTCTGAAAACATTCCACCTGCACTCATAAATTAATCTAACACAGTTGCTACAAAGGCAGTAGCAATGTATGGGTTCACAAATTCACCATAACAACATCTTAATTCTTAAGCTCTTTTTAAATAAATGTTTTTACTAAAGAGATACCCCACATGACCAGTATTCTGTCCACAGTAATTCTCTTGTGTCTCACTGAAAGATGCATATATGTAGTCTTCTTAGCTAAAGCACACACTGTAAATGAAGATGTGCTATT